CATAGATGCAAAAATCTTCAATAAAATACTGGCAAGCTGATTGCAACAGCACATCAAAAAGCTTATCCACCATGATCAAGCAGGCTTCATCCCGGGGATGCAAGGCTGGTTCAACATACACAAGCCTATAAACGTAATTCACCACATAAACAGAACCAAAGACAAAAACCACATGATTATCTCAATTGATGCAGAGAAGGCCTTCAACAAAATTCAAAAGCCCTTTATGCTAAAAACTCTCAATAAACTAGGCATTTATGGAACATATCTCAAAATAATCAAAGCTATTTATGACAAACCCACAGCCAATATCATACTGAATGGGCAAAAACTGGAAGCATTCCCTTTGAAATCTGGCGCTAGACAGGGATGCCCTCTCTTGCCACTCCTATTCAATATAGTATTGGAAGTTCTAGCCAGATCAATCAGGCAAGAAAAAGAAATAAAGGGTATTCAATTAGGAAAGGAGGAAATCAAATTGTCTCTGTTTGCTGATAACATGATTGTATATCTAGAAGACCCCATTGCCTCAGCCCAAAATCTCCTGAAACTGATAAGCAACTTCAGCAAAATCTCAGGATACAAAATCAATGTGCAGAAATCAGAAGCATTCGTATACATCAATAACAGACTCAAAGAGAGCCAAATCAAGAATGAATTTCCATTCAAAATTGCTACAAGGAGAATAAAATACCTAGGAATACAGCTAACAAAGGATGTAAAGGACCTATTCAAGGAGAACTATAAACCACTGCTCAAGGAAATAAGAGAGGACACAAACAGATGGAGAAACATTCCATGCTCATGGTTAGGAAGAATCAATATCATGAAAATGGCCATACTGCCCAAAGTAATTTATAGATTCAATGCTATTCCCATCAAGCTACCAATGACCTTCTTCACAGAATTGGAAAAAAATCACCTTAAGTTTCATATGGAACCAAAAGAGAGCCCGCATAGCCAAGTCAATTCTAAGCAAAAAGAACAAAGCTGGAGGCATCATGCTACCTGACTTCAAACTATACTATAAGGCTACAGTAATCAAAGCAGCATGGTACTGGTACCGAAACAGAGATATAGACCAATGGAATAGAACAGAGGCCTCAGAGGCAATGCCACACATCTACAACAATTGATCTTTGACAAACCTCACAAAAACAAGCAATGGGGAAAGGATTCCCTGTTTAATAAATGGTGTTGGGAAAACTGGCTAGCCATGTGCAGAAAGCAGAAACTGGACCCCTTCTTGACACCTTACAGTAAAATTAACTCCAGATGGATTAAAGACTTAAACATAAGACCTAACACCATAAAAAACCCTAGAAGAAAACCTAGGCAAAACCATTCAGGACATAGGCATGGGGAAGGACTTCATGACTAAAACACCAAAAGCATTGGCAACAAAAGCCCAAATAGACAAATGGGACCTAATTAAACTCCATAGCTTCTGTACAGCAAAAGAAACAATCATTAGAGTGAACCAGCAACCAACAGAATGGGAAAAAATTTTTGCAATCTACCCATCTAACACAGGGCTAATATCTAGAACAGACCCTTTTCAAAAGAAGACATATATGAGGCCAAGAAACATATGAAAAATGCTCATCATCACTGGTCATTAGAGAAATGCAAATTAAAACTACATTGAGTTACCATCTCACGCCAGTTAGAATGGCGATCATTAAAAAATCTGGAGACAATAGATACTGGAGAGGATGTGGAGAAATAGGAAGACTTTTACACTGTTGGTGGGAGTGTAAATTAGTTCAACCATTGTGGAAGACAGTGTGGCGATTCCTCAAGGACCTAGAAACAGAAATTCCATTTGACCCAGCAATCCTATTACTGGTTATATATCCAAAGGATTATAAATCACTCTATTATAAGGACACATGCACACGAATGTTTATTGCAGCACCGTTTACAATAGCAAAGACCTGGAACCAATCCAAATGCCCATTGATGATAGACTGGACAGGGAAAACATGGCACATATACACCATGGAATACTACAGAGCCATAAAAAACAATGAGTTCGTGTTCTTTGCAGGCACATGGATGAACCTGGAAACCATCATTCTCAGCAAACTGACACAAGAATAGAAAATCAAACACCAAATGTTCTCACTCATAGGCAGGTGTTTAACAATGAGAACACATGGACACAGGGAGAGGAGTATCACACACTGGGGTCTGTGGTGGAAAACTAGGGGAGGGACAGCAGGGTGTGGGGAGTTGGGGAGGGATAACATGCGGAGAAATGTCAGATATAGGTGAAGGGGAGGAAGGCAGTAAACCACATTACCATGTATGTACCTATGTAAAAATCCTGCATGTTCTTCACATGTACCCCAAAACCTAAAATGCAATAAAATATATATTAAAGAAAATAAAAGGAATGGCGACTTACCAGAGAGGAATTACTGAAGTCTGAGCTGGAAGGACCCTAGACACCATCTAGCCCAGGCTCCTCTCCAAACAAATAAGAATGCCGAGATCATGCCCTAGACCACGGGTAAGAGAGCCCTTCCTTGGGCATTTCAGCCAAGCCAGACTTCACTGGACAGAGCATAGCTAGAAATGATCAAATTCTGGCCCAGGATGTGCCACTTTTAGGCATATGGAATCTAGCTATCTTGAAACAGAAACCCCCTTTACAAAAGCCAGGCAATCCCTTTTTCTTCATCAGCAAAGCTCCAGAGGCAGGCTGGCGTCAGTGAAAAGCAGGATGAGTGATCCATTTTACAGATGAAGAAACTGAGGATCAGTGAGGGGAGGTGATTGCCCAAGGTCACAAATAGTAAGCAATAGAGAAAGGACTAGAACCTCCTGAATCAGGCACTCTGGTTTTCTACCCACTGTGGTACCACCATCCTTCCAGCCCAGTCAGCTGGAGAAGACCATTTCTCAAGTGCTAATCATGTCAGGCACTGTGTATGTGAGGGGCTTTATATGTGTTGAATCCTCATAATGATATTGGGGAGATGGGTGCTGGGATTAGGCTGATTTTATACGAGAGGAAGTGGCAGCTCAGAGACGATAGGGGACTAGCCCAAGTTACCTTCAAAGTGACAGCCGTGAAGTGGAAAACCAGAATTTCAACCCCAGACTCCAGAACACATATTCTTAAACATGAAATTAGGCAGCCTCTCCAGAGTTCTTTACAGACATGTTTCCTTCGGTTCTGTGTCTTTTTGAGAATGCAGAATTGAGTCCTGTATGTTACGCCTGTCCCCACTCCCATTTTATTATAGAGACTAGGATCAAGGAGGCCTTAGAAAGCAACATTTAGAAGTCAGAAAAGCACAGAGGCCAAAGGGTGCAGATTCCTGGATCTCGCCAAGGTTAATACCAAACAAGCATTTATTTGATAGGTAGTCAGGAGCCCTTATTCATTTTTTCCACTATGCTATTCGTATTTTTAAATATTTAGACATACCTCACATATCACAAAATTTACCTTTGAAAGTACACAAGTTTTAGTATATTAATAAAGTTATACAATCACAATATTCCAGAACATTTCCATTAAGTATATTTTAGGATCATCCATTTTGTCACATGCATCAGTACTTAATTCTTTTTATGGCTGAATAATATTCTATCATATAGAAATATTATTTTGTTTATCTACTTATCTATTGGAATTTTTTTTTTTGCTGGTATACATAACACTGCTGTGAACATTTGCATACACATTTATGTATGGATGTGTTCCCAATTCTTTTGGCTATATACCTAGGAATGAAATTTCTAGGTCATATGATAAACTCCATGTTTAACTTCTTGAGGAACTGTCAGACTGTTTTCCAATGTGACTGCATCATTTTACATTTCCACCAGCAGTATATGAAGGTTTAAAATTCTTCACATTTTCACAACACTTGTTATTTTCCTTTTTAAAAATTATAACCATCTTAGTGGGTGTGAAGTGTTATCTCATTGTGGCTTTGATTTGTGTTTGCATTTCTCAAGTGATTAGTGATATTGACCATTTTTTCATGTGCTCATTGGCCATGAATATATCTTCTTTGGAGAAATCACTATTCAGATATTCTGCCTATTTTTAATTGGGTCATGTGTCTTTTTATTGTTGAGTTATAAGAATTCTTTATTCTGGATACAAGTACCCTTTCAAATATACAATTTGCAAATATTTTCTCCCACTACTGACCCTTGGTTCATAAAGTTCCAGAACATGAGAGCTGGGAGAACCTGCTGGAATAACCTGGTCCAGAGATTCCCAAATTTCAGGCTCCACATGCTCACATCTGTGCTATTATTTAAATAAAACTGTTCTTTAGGCCAGCCCACTACTTTTGCTTAAATTTATTTTAAAACGAAACTTTTCATTATTGTGTAAATGAAGCACCAATGTCACTTGCCACAAAAATGAACATGAACACTAAACCATGATATTAAATCCTAGTGAGAACCCAGTGTCTGTGGGTGGCCAGGGCCTGAACTCTGCTCTTTGGAAAAAAGGAGATGAGCAAAGTTTAGAAAAGTGTTCTAGACAAGTAGCACCAACCTCAGGCAGAGGCCTTGCTGTCACCTGAGGATTGAAAAGCAGTTGACCTGAGACTCCTATTCTTACTATAGGTCTGGATGACTCTTGTCCAACTAGAGACTATTGCTTCTATGCCACCTAAAATCCATCTTCAGCATGCATCCCTGGCTTTGAGAAGCCCTCCTCTCATCTAACTTTAGTGTACCTTCAGGCAAACAACCAAGGTGAATCTGGGACTTGTCCGAAGGCACAGTGTGAGCCAGATCAATTCCAAGGCAAGAAAGAGCACAGATGTACCAGATAGGCCCCTTTCCATGTTGGTATACCAAACATCATGAAAGACAGTCACTGAAGTCCCCTCAACTCAACTCCCACCATCATATGAGTTAATGCAAGACTTCAAGCGAACAAAATGTAAGTGGATAACCTAACATCTTTTATATTAATCAGAAGTATCCAAGACCCTTATTGCAATAGGTGTGGGGAGGTTTGGTGGTTAATTTGTTCTCCAGCCCTCAGCTGTGGGAGGCAGACATTACAGGGCTTGTGGCATACAGAACTGAACAGTACAGACCTTTAGCCTGGTCGGTGAGGACATTGCTGTCCTGAAGCAAAGCAGAGATCATGGGCCTTGGAGATGCTTCCTCCTGGCTGGCAGTCACTCCCCAGTGGATGTGCAAATGGTTGAAGCCAAACACAAAGGGTAGGGGAAGATTCTAACAATGAATTCCACCTGCAGTTCCCTTTTGGCACAGGCAAATCCTCTCATGGAATCAGCCATTTCTCAGATCTTATAGTTGAAGGATTTGCCCATTGCTGTACCTTGGGCATGGGGAAGACCCAGGGACTGCAGAGGCCCTTGCTTCTCCAGCAGGAGCAAGTGTCCTCACCAACAGGGAGTCCTTTCAGTCCTGGAGCTCTTGCGTCCTTATTGCAGGTACAGTTTCTTCTATCTGAACCCAATGGCCTGTTAGATTAAGTTATTTGTATTTTCTGAAGTAAAATAATGTGACAATTGAAACAAATAACTTGATGTTTTTTCTTGCTAGTGCTCCCTTCCATCTCTTGATATCCAATACCCAAATGTCCTTTCAAGAATACCAGCTGCTGTCACGGCAACCAGGTGGAAGTAGGACATAAACTGCTGGCAAAACCAATTTGATCTTAGAAATATTTTTAGTTAAAAGCAGACTCTCCCAAATCTGCTTTGGAAAATAGATGAAAACAAAGCAAAGCAACCATCCAGAGGTGGGTCACCTTCAATAAACAAACAACTCACCAAAATCCGAAATGCTCAGAGCAGTAGTCCTATCCCTCACACAGAGTATGAACCACCTTGTTTCTCTCCTTAGTTTTGAAAGGCTTACCCCTGAGACATTACAAATTAGATTTCAATTTAAATTAAACCACATTCAAAACATACGTGTTTCATCACAGCAAAGCCCCATCAAATGACCTTAGTCCACTTAAACAGAATTTTGACTTCAGCTGTGTGGGTGTCCACCAGAGTTCATTCCCCATAGGCTAAGTGTTAGTGAACCGACTCACAAGTTCATGTGTCTCCTAGCAGGGGACTTGTTTGTCTGTCACAAGACTGTCCAGGCTGTGATAGCAACTACTTGAAAAATAGAAGTGCCTATGTTGAAAATGAGTTGCCAAACAAGACCCTGAGTTGAGAAACCACCATCATTATATGGTGTTGATGACAAGAAGATACCAACAGACTGTGGCCAAAGCCCAGCCTCTGGTCAATGTCAAGGTTAGCTAGTAAATAGAACTAGATGTTGGGAGATTAGCACATTTCTTACAGCCTCATGCTGTAATCTCTAAAGCACCTGGACTACCTGAAAAATACCTGTCCACCTCAGTAACTGTTGCTTCTCTGCCCAAACTTGCCTTTAGCTAGATCTCCCCAGCTAATAAGATTGGGCAGCCAGTGTCCACATCAGTGATAGAGTTGGGCCTTTTGTCACCACAGACCTGATGTGGCCTGGGTCTGTCCCTGGAGAATGCACAAGTATGTGTTTGTGATTTGAAGGATGTTAGAGCCACTCCAGTCTCTGCCAGATAGCAAGGCAAATTAAAGCTGGTGCTTTGCCAAAGATGCCTCATAGATCCTTCAGCCTGAGCCATCCCTTTCCCACTGAAAGGCTGTACTTGCTGGTTTGGTTTGGCAGTGCCATGTAGGCTGTGCTCATCATATGCCATGTTAAATGGCCAGAATAGGTCAGAAGTGAATTCAGCCTCAACCCCAAGAGAACCAGAAGAGCTTATGAATGAGTTGCTCCCAGAGGAAAAAACAACAGAAACAAGAGATACATTAAAGTGAGAACTCAGCTATTACTGCGGCTGGCTATCTTCTGCATTTAAATCAAATTCTTGCAAGGGAGAAGATCTCAGCATTGTTATTGGTTAACAGAAAGGAAAATCATTATCTCAACTACTGTGGAACAAGTTTAGGAGAGACATTTTCAATTTATTTTCAAACTGTTTTCAGTAAATACAAAGCACATTTCCATGTGCTACTTCCGTGGTTTGGGTCCTATTAAATAAGCATAATGATCTAGCAACACTGTAAACTCATTTCACAGAAAGAAGTGATTATTTTTCAAAGGAAGTAGGGTTTGCTGTGCCTGGGTCGGTCCCAGAGAGCTTGTTTCCTGGTTTCCCTGTATCATTAGGAAGATATGGAGGATGACTTCTTCTCCATGGGAAAATAGGCTGGGTATCAGGTGTGCCTTACAGAGGGAGCAACACCACCAATGAGAAACTGCCAGTTGCTTCCCAGAAGGTATACACTGCATTGGGCATCTTATTATTTTTTATTCAAACCAAATCCATCTACCTTGACTCAAGACCACAGGAACGTCAACAAGTTGTTCTGAGCTTTCCATCAAATGCTTTGCATTTCAAATCTAAGGGGACTATATTCAAATGTGCTCTGTATTCATACTTTGGGA